GGTCATCTCGAGACACGAAAAAGATGGAATGGTTCGGACGTTGAGGTGTCATCGAGGGGAACGTTACAGAGGCAAGGCAGGAAAACTAGGAAATCTTGTGAATGCTGTTTTGAGACGTTCGAAGACTAAATTTACTGGCTGCCCTTTTCTGATAAAAGTCAAATTTGAAGCAAATTCCAAAAAATGGAGTATCTGGCTTCCTTTAGAAGACGAGAAAGGATTTCATAATCATGCTTCGGCTGTGCATCCCGAGGGTCATCGACAGATGAGCCGACTCAGCGATTCATCCAAAGAGATTGTCCGTGATATGACTGATGCTCAGGCAAGACCGGGAATAATATTGGCTGCAATTCAGGAGAAAAACCCAGTGGACAACACTACTTGCCGACAAGTGTATAACTATAGAGGTCAATTGCGAAAAGACCGTCTGGAGGGTAGAGATATTGTTGGCCAGCTTCTGCATTTGGCTAGGGGCAGCAACTACATAGTTTACACAGATGTTGACCCGGACACACAGGAGTTGACACGTATGTTCATGTCGCATCCAGGAGCAGCCAGTCTATTCCGGACATATTACTGGTATGTCGGTATAGATTCCACATACAAAACCAACAGGTATGTTACATTACGTTATAAATAGTAATATAATGTGAATCTTAAAATAGTATGTTTGAGTAAGTTTTTTGATTCTATGTTTTTTCTTCTTGTTGCTTTCATTTGCACAGGTACCACATGCCGTTGGTTGAGATGGTTGGAATGACGCCGTGCAACAAGACTTTCTTAATTGCTTATGCAATTATCAAGGACGAGACCGAGTACAGCTATGACTGGGTCCTACAGCGGTTGAGACTTCTGATAGGGCCTGATGTAGATCCTACAGTCATTGTTAGTGACAGGGAGTTGGGGTTGATCACTCCTATTCAGAGAAATTTTCCGACGACGCCCCACTTACTCTGCACGTGGCACATCAACAAGGATGTGGAAGACAGGGTCTATCGATTAACGTCGACAACCACAACTAAAAATAAGATCTTCGCGCAGAAGTTCACGCACGGCAAGTGGAAGAAGGTTGTCGAGGCGAACACGTGGGACAAATACAAAACTGCCGTAACTGATTTGACTGTTACATACGCGGCGTTTCCTCGTGTGCTGGAATATGTGGATCAGACATGGCTAGTGCACAAGGAGAAGTTTGTCAAAGTGTGGACGGACACTGTCTTACATTTTGGCAACACAACGTCGTGTAGGGTGGAGAGTTCCCACGCTATGTTGAAGCGGTGGCTTAACATGTCGACTGGTTCGCTCGACACGGTTTGGGAGAAGATTGACAAAGAGATTGATTCTCAACTGACTAAAGTCAGGTATATTTTTTAATTTATACTGTAAGACTGTGTTATTAATGCATTGATTATAAATTTTAATTCGGTCGAATGTTATGTTATGTAATGTATTACCAGGGAGACGCTGGAGTCTTCGAGACTTAGGATGAGTACGGGCTGCAGGGAATTCCCTTTCGAGCAGTTGACACTGCGGGTCTCGCATTACTGTATTGATATATTGAATGATGAGCTTCAGAAGATGCGAGACTTCGACAAAGATGTTTCGGAGCTCTGCGATTGTGCACTAAAATACACTCATGGACTTCCTTGTGCCTGTGAGCTAAGGGAGGCACACACTGTACGTAGAAATATTACGACCGACGACATCCACATCTTCTGGAGCACACTAGAGGTGATGCAGCCAGGTATAATTGCGAGATTAATAAATCTATAGAACATCATTAAATACATTTTTTTTCTCCTAAATTTTATTTAATTTATACAAATTTTGATAGAGCATATTGTATAATTCTTTAAATTTTCGGTACGGACAGGTCAGCAGAGTGCATCGGCGAGTGGATGGACTGATCATGATTATTTTCGGAGGCTTGCCGAGGAGGTTGAAGCGGCCGATCCTGCGACTGTACGGTACCTGAATCATCTCATCGACTCTCAGCTTCACCCTGATCAACAGGGATACACAGAACCTGCAGTGAAGGAAAATCCGAGAGGTCGACCCAAGAAGAAAAATTCAACAAAACGCGATCTATCGAGATGGGAGCACACGGAAACAGGTCGTCGGCCGGGGCGTAAAAGCACTTCTTCGTGTGCTCCATCGCAATCGGGGTACACGGAAACAGGTCATCGGCCGGGGCGTAAAAGCACTTCTTCGATGTGGGACTACAGGGAAAGAGGTCGTCCGGTGGGTCGTACAAGCATTTCTTCGTGTGCCCCGACAAGCTCATCGTCTCAAGATCCGACAGGTAATTTAATTTTACTTTTTATCTTAACGATGACTAATTATGTTTGTAAATTCAATTACATAAATTATGACGTGAAATTATTCTGATATTACAGATACATTCGAGACGGATTTTTTTCAGTACCGACATTGTGGTAGGATTCCCTACGTAGTTCACAGCTACGTACAGAGTTATCTGGATGTGACGCCGGACGGGAACTGCGGATTTCGGGTGGTTGCGAGTTACATTTATAGGGATCAGCAGAGGTGGGATGTGGTAAGAAGAAATATTGCAAATGAGGTCGCAGCCAACATTCATTTGTACGCTCCATTTTATTGGGATGGGGTCGACGTCGCAATCGATCGTATAAGATGGGAGGGGGGTCCTTGTGGCGAGCCACATTGGATGAATGGTACGGGCGACCTCTTTGCTATTGCTACACTGTTCAATGCAGTTGTCGTGTTGCTAAGCTATGGTCCCAACGATAACAATATGGACATGGCTAGTATGACGGTATTCCCGATCCGCGCACCATCCACGGCTACACGACCTGACTGTGAGATCGTCATAGGTCATCTTGGTTCCTACTCGCACTTCATTCGTATCAATCTGTGTTCTGATTCTCCATTACCGCCTTTGTGTTTTTTTTGGGACAAATACCGAGATGTTTCGGTTCAAGATTGGCCGTATCATTACCAGAGCAGGTTCCAGTTGTGGAATGATATTCGTACTGCAGCTGGAATTTGATATATTGTGATATTCGACGTATGTCTGCGGTTTTTTTTTTTAAATTTTATTTTCATGCGTTACGAGTGATAGATTGTGATATAATGGGAGAATTTTTTGTTTAGATGAAAATAAAATTAACTAACCACAAATAAAAAAAGAAAACAATTCGGGTGGTTTCTGACAACATCCAAAACAAAATATAAAAAAAAATAAGTATTTATTACATCACTACTGCGCTCTGTCGAAATCCAACCTCAACTGAGCCAGTTTTTCTGCATAAATTGCCGCCCTATCAAGAGCAAGTGTCGCGATCTCTTGATGCATATCTGATAAAAGGGACATGGACCATCCGATCCATTATACAAAGCACAACGAAAATATATACACATAATTAAAATATAAAATTTTTTTTGGAATGAACGAATACTAACTAAATTTAGTAAACGACTTACGTAATCTGTGTTGTCGCGCGCAGGGACAACCTCGTTGTCCGCCTGACTGTCAGGCAAGAGTCTAGGATGAGAATAACGCTCATACCATCGTTGGTAGTCCTCATGGGCCGCCCCTAGATCATCTGCGGTGGTGGGAGTAAAATCAGACAAGCGTACAGAATGCAGTAGCGGGAACTGATCCCAGTGATCTGCTGCAGCGTCCGCTGCATGCTCAACCCTGTACATCCTAGCATTCCAACCACGAAATACAGTGATCGGATGATCCATGCGGGGAGGGATTGTCTGGACGTAGTCCAACTGACGCAAGAAACGCATAGGCATGTACGGCTCTACAATATCCCGGTACCTAAGGCATCC